TGCCTCCTGGGCTCAAGGGATTCTCATGCCTCAGCCTCCCGAGTAGTGGGAGTTACAGGTATGGGTCACCACACCCTGTTAATTTGTGTATTTTTAGTAGAGACTGAGTTTCACCATGTTGGCCAGGCTGGTCTCGAACTCCTGTCCTCAAGTGATCTGCCCGCCTCGGGTCCCCAACGTGCTGGGATTACAGGTGTGAGCCACCAGCCGGGTCACCTATTTGGTTGATTAAATCATTATCAACCCAATGATGACTGGGCTGCAGTAATCCAGATTGCACATGCATGAATTGGAGTTCTGGTTACTATGTGCACCTGTCTGAGTTTTATTTAGCCAAATTTATGTGTTAAACCTCACAACTTCCTGCTACCCACCAAACATCTTTCACAAATTTCCTAGTAGCCTTTTGCGACCTGACAGGATGAATCAATGAACAGCATTGTAAACAATATTTTGCTTGCATTGAAATATTACCGTGCTCCCCTAGAAGAACAAAGGTTATTTATGAAAGCAGTGGTGACTAAGAAAATCAACTCTTATAAAATTACTAAGTTTTAAAAATAGATTAAAATACACTTGTTTTATTTTGATTATATGCAGTCTAAACAATCTTAAAAAAAAAGAAACTACATTAGTTAACTGGGTTATATTAGAATGATTTTTTCCGGCAACCTTTAAATTATCTCCTTCATACAAATTTCTTTGCTATTTTTAAATGATCTCAGTAATTTCATTTCTGATTATGAATCTGGCACATATATACCATATAGAAAATATAGGAGATCATGGAGGAAATAATACTCATGATTTCACTGTCCAGAGATTTAAGTGTGTAAGTTGAGTATCCCTAATCTGAAAATCTGAAATACAATTTATTGTTAAGTACTGATCTCATTTTCTGTAGCCCTGATGAACTTATTCATTCTAGTAGTATTTTAGTGTACTCCTTGAGGTTTTCTTCATATGAGAACACATCATCTGCAAATAAAGGTAGTTTAACTTCTATTCCAATCTGGATACCATTTTTTAAAAAATTTCATTCTTTTACCTAATTGTCCTGGCTACTATCTCCAGTACAACATTGAATAGAAGTGTTGAGAGTGTACATCTTTGTATTATTCCTAATTCAAGGTGAAAGCATTCAGTCTGTCCCACTAAACATGGTGTTAACTGAAGCTTTCTGACAGATGTCCTCTATCAGGTTGAGGAGTTCCCTTCTATTCCTTGTTTGTTAAAAGAATACTGAATTTTGTCGTATGCCTTTCCCGTGTCTATTGAGATGATCACATTAGTTTTGGTTTATTTTCTACTGGTACTACATTAATTGGTTTTCAGATGTTAAACTAACCTTGTATCTCTGGGATAAATCCCACTTGGTCATCATGTATAATTTATGCAAATGTTACTGGATTCAGTTTCCTAATATTTTGTTGAGGATTTTATGTCTGTATTTAAAGACTATTCATTTGTAGTTTTCTTGTGATGTCTTAGAGTGTTGGAGTAATAGTGCTCTCATAGAATAAGCTGGGAAGTGTTCTCTCCTCTAATTTTGGAAGAGTTTGTGAAAAAGTGATATCAACTCTCCTTTAGATGTTTAGTAGGATTTAGCTGTGAACCCATCTGGGCCCAGGCTTTTCTTGGCATGTGGTTTTTTTTTGATTGCTAATTCAATCTCTTTAGTTTTAGAAGTCTATTCAGATATTCAGTTTTGATTGCTTGTGTTTTGTTTGTATATTTAAAGCTATTACAAACTTCTACTTTGTAATGTTTGTGATAAGAAATAGAATGTCATCCATTTCATTTAGTCCTCTGTATGTAATGTGCTTTTTCTCCTTTTATTCCTCTTAGGATTTTCTGTTCATCACTGGTTTTGATTAATGTGAGTACAGTGTTCCTTGGTGTAGGTTTCTTCATGTTTCTTGTCCTTAGTATACACTATGTTTCTGGGATATTTGAGGTTTATGACTTTCACTGACCATCAATGATAGACTAAATAAAGACAATATGGTATCTATACACCATGGAATACTACGCAGCCATAAAAAAGAATGAGATCATGTCTTTTGCAGGGACATGGTTGAAGTTAGAAGCCATTATCCTCAGCACACTAAGGCAAGAATAGAAAACCAAACGCCACATGGTCTTAATTATAAGTGGTAGCTGAATGATGAGAACACATAGACACATGGGAAAACAACACACACTGGGGCCTGTCAGAAGTGAGGGGTGGCGGTTGGGGGGAGGGAGAGCATCAGGAAGAGTAGCTAATAGATGTTGTGGTTAATAGCTAGGTGATGAGATGATCTGTGCAGCAAACCACATGGCACATGTTTACCTATGCAACAAACCTACACATCTTGCACATGTACCTGGGAACTTAAAATAAAATATGAAGGAAAAAACTGAATAAAGATTTTAAAAATCCACTTAAACCTCAATACTGGCATCACAATTAAATCAAAATTAATTACAGAACTAAATGTAAACTGCAAAACTAGAGAACTTACAGTAGAAAACATAAGAGAAACTCTTCATGATGTGGAGTTAGGCTAAGTATTCTTAGTTACCACATCAACAAAATGATTAAAGAAACCATTGATCAATTCAACTTTATACAAATTAAAAATTCTTGGTCAGCACAAGACACTATTCATAGAATAAAAAGACATGCTACAGATTGGGAGAAAAATATGAGATCACTAATATGACAAAGAGCTTGTGTGATGGTTAATTGTGTGTGTCCCTGTGACCGAACCCCAGGGTGCCAGGACATTTGTTCCTATGTTATTCTGTGTGTGTACTGGAGGGGGGATCTGGATGACATTAACACTGGAATAGGCAGTCTACGTGAAGCAGATTGCCCTCCATAAAGTCAGTGGGCCTCATCCAATCAACCAAAGGCCAGAGGAGAAGTAAAAGGCCCAATAAGAAGGAAATACTTTCCTGGGATCTGCTTTTCTGTCTTGGAAATTTCAGCCTCCAGAATCTCATGTCCAAACTGTGTTTATACACACACGTACACACACACACACACACACACACACGTATATGCCATATACATATACATAAATATATATTAATATATACATATATATACACACACACACACACACACACACACTTCCTAGGTAAGTAGGAAGGATTGCATTTTGTAAAGCTCAGCCATTCGATGATAATTGTTGAAGCCGGTCAGTGATTATGGGGATGTTGTAGTGTAGGATTCTGTCTCCTTTTTTTTACTGTTGCAGTTCTGCATTTTAAGAAGTAGGATAGAATAATAGCTGAATTTCTCCACAGACACTTCAAAGCCCTGGGGATTAACACAGAGTCAGAAATACCACCCATAATCCTGCCCCCAACCAGGGCTAGGGAGCACTGGGGACCCCAAGTGATTTTATTTAGCCAGGTCTGGGAGTCACATAACAGCAGAAAGAGAGGAAACACCAGGCAAATAGAGGCCAGCACAGCAGCAAGGATCTGTTAATGACAAAACACAGGTAAAGCCTTCCTCAGAAAGCGAGTGTGGAGAAACACAGATGAGGCCTGAGACCTGGTGGATGAGAACCCTGCTACTGGGGTATTGAAAACCGTTTCAGTGCAATGTTAATCGGGAGCTATCCAACTCTTCCTATAAAACAAAAAGCGCACACACATACACAAACACAAAAAGACAACAACATCAACATAGAAATACAGTAAATACATTCTACCACGTATGGTAAACATAGACTAAAACATGGAAGAGTTTACAATATAAACAGGGAAATAAGACTGTTTTAATTAATCTAAATTCTTATACACCAAAATCAATCATAATAATAAAGCTTAAAACATTATACATAAAAAATCCAATAGTCCAGAGTGAGAAGCAAAAAATGTTTTAATTGAAGAGATTTAAAACTTAAACATTTTAACTGATGGACTATAATTAATTTTGGATGCAAGTTAAAATTGGGGCAGAGAATCTTCTTTATCACAACAGAATGCCAGCAAAAAGAATTAAAATTAATTTTGGATGAAAGTTAAAATTTGGGCAGAGAATATTCTTTCTTATGAAGAATGCCAGCAAAAGCAAGTATAAAGTACGATTTTGAGATAGAAAATTTTCAAAGTACAAACATAAATATAATAACTGACACAGGCAGGGGTGATTAATCGATGATAAAATACTCAGAGGAAGACCGTTAGAATACAGGAAATTGATACTGTTTCAAACCACTTTCCAAATTAATTATAACCAAGATGTCTTTACAAGGGACAGAGCTCCTAGACGCCTCCTTTACCAAGTGACCATCCTAGTATCACAACAATGGGGATGGACACACTGGGCCTTCTCTGCCTGCAGATGGACTGAGGTAGGAAGCTCACAGCATGGACTCTGCAGAGTTCCTGGCAAAATGTTTAGGCTGAATTTAATCATGAGGACATTTTCAGATAACTTCAGAATGTAGACCATTGAGCCACACAGCTGACCTGTCCTCTACAAACAAGTCCATGTCACCACCATCAATGACAACAACAAAAAGATGAGGAAATGTTTTGGGTTCAAAATGACTAAAAAAGCACAAGCTACATAGTCTTTTTAGTCTTTTTGAGCCCAAAATGTCTCTTCTCCTTTTTGTTGTGTTCTTGGTGGTGACATGGACTGTTTGAAGGGGACAGGTCAGTTGTCCTGTTCAGTGTTCTACATTCTGCAGTTGTCTGAGGGTTACCTCCTGTGAAACTCAGGCTAAGCGTTTTCAGCAAGAACATGGCATTGTTCATACTCTGCCCTGGCAGAGTCCCGGCTGACATGCAGTCTCCTGCCAGCAGCTCCTGACTCCTGTTCTCTACACGATGGGAATTGAGAGGAGCAGGGCTAAGGCCTGTCAATGCTATTTGTCCATCTGGGTATTGGTCTCCCTAGGCATTGATTACAATTGGAGGGTTATGGACTGTGGCTTCTCAAATCAAAGGAGCATAGTGGTTTGAAATCATCAAGAGTATTCTGTGTCTAAAATTCAATCCTCAGTGAAGGACCCCTGCAGTATTGTGTTTGGATTTGAACTTGCTTTGCTGTTTTAGTTGTTTTCATCAAGTGGAAAAGTTACTTTTTGTGACATCCTTTCATCCTTTGCATCCTTCCAGCAGTATTTGGTATCTGTAGGGGAGAGAGAGAAAAAAATCAAATGAGCATTTGTGTCAGGTCCTCCTGATGGCTGAGTCTGGACGGATTGCTAAATAGTGATATATCAGGGGCAAAAGGATAACCTGCCAGGAGGATGAGCTGAAGGGTGGGCCGTGGGTTGACTGAAGGGGGAAGCACCATCCACAAGCGAGAAAAAAACACTCCTAAACTTCCCTGAACTTTCAGTCAGCCTGGGGTGCAGGATATAAGGACCCCACCTATGCACAACCAGCAGAGGGGAACATCAGCCCTTTTCATCCTGATCCCCTCTGTCTGGAGCAGAGTGATGGCTTTTCCTCCCCGTGAGGATGTGCTCAGCATCCATCATGCCTGCCCAGAAACAGAGGGGAGCAGGAGGAGAGGACCCTTTGCAGAGAAACCCACCCCCTTACAACTCCATGTCCTAGTTTTCTAGGGCGGAATAGGAGGGCCATGGGATGAGAGAAGCAGCAGGAACCTCAGACAACATCCACGTCCAGGTCCATCTTTTACGACAGAGGAGTAGTGATGCCACAGGGGTAAGATTGAACTAAGGCCAATGACTTGCTATTGACAACCCAGGAATCAGAATCTACCCACTAAGGCCGTTTCAATAAAAATTGGTGAAAGCGAGAGGAAAGGCTCCAATCTGGAGGTCTCAACAGTCATGAGAGGCGGTTGGTCACCTTGGTTAGGATGGCAATAAGGTTTTACAAATAAATATGATGTTACTGCTGCTTCTTTGGCTGGTTAAAAAAAAAAAAGATAATTATAAGTATTTGTCCAAAGGGGATCAGGAAAGAAAGGGAATTTTTAAAAAGAGACTCAAAATGGTGTTAGCTAAGACAGAGCGGGGACTGTAACTATGGCCCAACATATTTTCCCTAATGGCCTGAAATTGATTTCACATCTGGTTCCACCTTAAGGCATTTCTAGAAATATTCTCAATATCTAGAGCAAGAAAACTCTGAAGTATAAAGTGAAATGGATTAGTTTTTGTTTTACTACATTCTCCCCTCCCACTTACTGTTTTCCCCTAGTACATTTTGGGAAAGGTTTGTTTTTAATATTTTATGCCAGTGTGAAGAGAGGCATGAAGAAGTATTCATACACAGTCTCTTGAAGAATTTCAGTCTTACTGTGTTACTGTATTCTCTTCAGGAAAGTGAGACCGATGAGTTCTCTTTGGGGATTTTGTGGAAGGACAATAACTGACCAAAAGTAAAATTTTCACATTGCAGTGGTGAGCGCATGAGTGGGCTATAAAATGGGTGTGGGGAAATGTAAACTGGAAGTTTTCTTTTAAAATGCAAAAAAAAAAAAATACTAAATTCCACTATATGTAATATGGGAGGTATTATTTCAATACATTAGGTGTTAATATAATGACTATTTCTTATCTTTTATTCAAAACTGAGCAAGTGTGCTTCAAGCAGAGGCTAAAAGTCTAATCTATTAATTTTCTTGTTCGTCTTATTGATTTTTTCTATGCTATACAAACAGTACTATTGAGAGGGAAATACAGATCCCATCAAAGACTGATGGATACTCAGCCTTTTCTGTGGTGTAGCCACACGTATGTGACGCTTCCATGTTGGTAAGCTGAGGTCACAGTAGACCAGGGGTCCTTGTCACCTTTAGCCACATATTAGAATCACATAGGAGCATTTTAAAACTATAGATGCTCAAACCACACCCCAGGCCATGTAGGTGGTAATCTCAAGGTGTGAGTTCAAGGCATTCATCTTAATGGAAACCTCAGCAGGTGCTTATTAAATGGCAGCAGGATTTAGAGATACTAAATGGACCAGCCCAATTTCCCATCATTTTCTTCCCTTTCCCCATTTCTCTCATGATTGGCTTTGTTCCCAGTGGTTCCATGGATTGTAGCCTTGTCTCTGACAATTTTAGTTAAATCTCTCTCTTATCAAAGGGCTGGGCCGAAGCAAACATTGTCCTGTAGACAGATTCTTGTCTGTCATCTTGTGTATGCATAAAGCTGGTCCTGGAGTCACTTTTCTCAAAGTTAATTCGTAAAATGCTCTCTCATATACACTGGCCTCAAGATTAATCAGACTTGCATTTTAGACCCTTCGCTGGACTTGTAGAAGTGGAAATGAGAATAAAAAGGAGAGAGGTTGCAATGATGAACCTCATGATGTATGCAGTTTTGAAGTCCTGCCCTGTGCATGTACTTTTGGAGTGATGTCCCTTTAGAATGTCATAAGTGTTCTCCGGTTAACATCAGCTCAAATGAGTCCATGAGGTGAGAACACTGAGACCCTGGCAACTCCATCCACTTTGGCACTAAGCTGCACATCTGGGGCTGAAGACAAACCTGACTCCAGGCCAGTGAGGAACTCCCACCTGTGACCTTGGTTCTAATTTAGTTTCCTAAGTGGGGCTCTTTGTGCTTAGTTTTAACACTGCTCATTCAGAAGAACAAATGATGATTAAGAGTTGACTCAGTTGGGTTGCTCAGAAGAAGACTCAAGAGGAAAATCTATGTGTAAATGATGTATTAAAGCAATGATTTCTGCAGAAAGAGGCAATGGAGTTGGGATGCAGGGAGGAAAGTTAAATTTCCCAAGAGAGAGTGTGATTCCAGGCAAATATTCCTGTGTTCAGCAGCTTAAACTATGCACTTGGATGAGGACAAGGAGGCCTGGCTCTCCTGTGGCCATGAGAGGGGCTGTCAAGACACTAGAAGAAGGAATAGAGCAGAGTTCAGAGAGCAAGGAGGACATGGGGACAGAAAGGGCCTGTCAGGGTGGGAGTCCATGGGACACAGAGTTAATACCAGACAGAAGTTACAGCAGCTGTTAGAACAAATGGAAGAGAAAAAGCAGTAGGCGATTGAGCTGTCAATAATAGACAGAGAAATAAGAAGTGAGTGCAGCTATCAGCCATAGATGTGATTACCTCTGCACTCTAGGCTTGCAGGCCAGGGAATCTGCACGCCAGTCTCCACTTGCTGAATGAGAATTTTCTTTTGATGATCTTTGGTTTCAGGACACTGGAGGCGTGAATCTGGCCAATGACTTGATGCCCTTGTGTGTTGTCTCCTGAGCCTTTAAGTGCATCACCTCCCAGCTGGGGAGGGTTCTTCATTCCCAGGGAGGGCTCTAAAACCAGCTCTGAAAATAAAACCACAGCCAATGGGATCCACTGGCACCCACGATCTTACTGTGACTTTCTCTTCCACCCAGAGGACATCAAATCAGGAAAGTGGCCTTGGAGAAGAAAGTCCAAAGGGTGAGGGGAAGCCAATAGAGTCACTTTAATATTTTCTTTTTTCTTGATCTTTCCCACATTACTGAGCAACGGTAAGATTGCCAGGAGTCAAAGGCACTGCCAATTCACAAAAATATTCAAGAAACATAGGATTAAGAAACACAAATAGCTTCCGGGTAGATAAGGCAAAGGCAAGGAAATAGCAGTGTATGTAGGCTATGCTTTGGGGAGAGCAGAGATTACAAGAATCAAAGTTAAATCAGAGCTGGGTTCTAACAGGAGATGAGAATGGAAGGGCCTGGCAGGGTGGCAGCCCATGTGGCACCGAGGTGAGACCAGACAGAGGTGACAGCAGCTGATGAGAGGAAAGAATCAGGAAGACTAAACCTAGAGAATTTACAAAAGTTGCATCATTATATGATCTACTGCATCTATATACACCCTATGTAGTATACACACCAGATATACATAGTCACACATAATAGGACAAATGATATAAATGCATATATCTGTACATGTTATTTTATTTTATTTTTTTATTTATTTAATTTTTTTTTTTTTTTTTTTGAGACGGAGTCTCGCTCTGTCGCCCAGACTGGAGTGCAGTGGCGTGATCTCCACTCACTGCAAGCTCCGCTGCCTCCCAGGTTCATGCCATTCTCCTGCCTCAGCCTCCCGAGAGGCTGGGACTACAGGCGCCCGCCACCACGCCGGGCTAATTTTTTTTCTTTTTGTATTTTTAGTAGAAACGGGGTTTCACAGTGTTTGCCAGGATGGTCTGGATGTCCTGACCTTGTGATCTGCCCGCCTCGGCCTCCCAAAGTGCTGGGATTACAGGCATGAGCCACCACGCCCGGGTTGTACATGTTATTTTAAAGGAAAAATATTATATAGGGATTTGGGAGAGATTGAATGTCACAATATCATCACTATTCTGGTCCAATGAAATGGGAAAAAAAATTAGAGACATGAGAAGAATGAGAAAGAAAAGGTGTGGAGAAATAAATGACCTGGTAGACAGCAGGGAGAAATCACCAGGTGAAGGAAAATATTAATGAAACAAAAAGCATTCACTCTGTCCTCTTACCTGGTGCCTGGTTCAGGCTCTGGACTCCAGGGAAAGTGAGCAACAGGGAGTGTGTCTGAGCCAGTGGGGTGAGTCTTGGCTGGGGGTGTGAGAATCCATAGAGAAGCAAAGGAGAGTCCAGTGGGAAGAAATCAGTTTAAATAAGTCATCCCGGGACGTGTCAGGTACTGCGTATCCCCCGACACTCCCTGAGCGCCTTCCATGTGTCCTTTCCTCCGACCCAGATGGTGCTCGTTATCTCACCCAACCCTCCCTCCTCCTGAGGACCGGGGTCCCCTCATTCCTCAGCTGAGGGCATCGCCTGACAGATGAGCACCAGGCAGCCCCAGGGGCTCCAGGAGGAGATACTGAGTGGGAAGAGAGTGAGAATGAACACGACCCAGGGTTTTAAGGAAATCTTAGCAGAAGTTTAACCCTGTGAGACAGAAACTGAGGACATGGCCGTGGACATGAATGGAGAATTTGAACTAAATGGAATTTCATAAAAGACACTAATGTGAACACTTTCCATGTGAAAGTTGCTCTTTTATTTCAAAAAAAGCAGGAAAAAAAGCAGAGGAAACTGGACATGTCAGGAGAGTGAGTGTGGGCCCAGGATTTACACTGTTACTCAATGTGCCTCATAGGTTGTTACTGAAAGTGCCTGATAGGGGAAAATTGGCTTCATGAGGGA